GAGTCTGCGCACTTAACCACTACACCAAACTGGACTACTGGTTTGATCTTATGTTCTTATAAATTGCTTCACTGCCAGGGAAGCACCTAAAGCAACATGGACTATAATACAATTGAACTGAATACACATAATACACAACAGCAGGAAAAAACGACAGCAGCTGTCAAAACTGGACAGAAGTGTTGGGCTTTGTTTTCTAAAATTCAGAAGCTAAGCAGCTTGGCAGGCCCCCTTGGGCTGAGAACACGAACTTCGTCCCAATTACACACCTTGACAGCTGTCACTGTTTTCCCTGTTGGGAAGGACCCAATGGTACTTGAGAGCCAGTTTGGTGTCTTGGTTAAGTGCGCGGACTCTGATCTGGGAGAACCGGTTTGATTCCCCACTCCTCCACTCGCAGCTGCTGGATGACCTTGGGAAAGCCAAAGTTCTGTCAAGGTGTTCTTGAAAAGAGCAGTTCCTGTCAGAGCTCTCTCAGCCCCACCTACCTCACAAGGTGTCAGTTGTGGGGAGGGGAAAGGGAAAGGAGTTTGTAAGCCACTCTGAGACTTCGAGTGAAGGGCAGGGTATAAATCCAATCTCTTCTTCTCTTCTACTTGCAAGACTGAGGAAGTACAGAAACCCAGAGCTGGCTCGAGAGAATGACAAGGTGAGGCATTTGCCGGTGTCCCAACACTTGTAAAGGGCCCAGAACTCCACCAGTGTTGACATTCTGGGCGATTTCTCACTAGAGCTGCCTCGCAGCGCAGCCGGCGTTTGCCCCGACACAAACATGTCAATTTCACACCCGAGGCTGCGGGGCTGCATTTTGACTCGCCGTCACCCGATTCCCGCAGTTTCGTGATCCTGGTTTTTGAGGATCATGAAACTGCGGAGGGAATCAGGCGAAGCCGCAGGTCAAATGCAGCCCCGCAGCCTCGGGTGTGAAATTGACATGTTTGTGTCGGGGCAAACGCCGGCTGCGCTGCGAGGCAGCTCTAGTGAGAAATCGCCCTCTTACTTTGCATGTAGCTCCCAAGAAGGTTAGAGACAGTTTTGAGAGAATTCTCAGTTTGCACACATCTGTTCCAGGCTAAGGGGACTGCACCTAAGTACCTCCTGAATACTGGAGCCAATATACAGAAAACTTTTGGCAGACATTCAGAATAGGACAACACGTGTAACAGGAGCTGAAAGCATTGCTTGTGACCAATGTTCCCTCTAAGCTGTGGAGTCTTGTGAGCAAAAATTTTACTTTGTGAGTTCCTGGCATTAAAGCTGTGAGCAAACAATTTGGCTACTGCATAAGTTCGTTTGCTCTGGAGCCATCCTTTCTGAGCTAAGGCAAAAATGTGTGAGCCGGAGGCTGAAAAACTGTGAGCTAGGTCATACTAACTCAGCTTAGAGGGAACACTGCTTGTGACATGAACACACACACACAACGCCTACCTGGAAGACAACCAGGATACAACGTATAATACAGGTGTCTCCGTTGACCATGGCTTTCTCCATTATGTCACAAATGCTGCTGAGGTGATGAGCTTCAATTGGGTGTTGCTTGCCCAAAAAATTTGTAATTGGAAGGTTGTTACTTGCTGCAAGCAGGTTGAGCTGATGGATACACATGGCACCAACATGGTGTAGTAACTGGTTGATAACCTCGTTTGTGGTTATGGCATCTCCTAGAAGAAAACAGAGCAACAAACCTAAGGATACGTCTTGCAGCTACGTAACGTGTCTTTCAAGTTACCGGGCTTTATGTACTCTGAGCCTATTGTAGAGAAAATTAATTTACAAGACACCTGCATAACTTTGGAAATACGATCTGCACCTAATTGAAGAAACTGCTGGAAGGACACTGTGGTCCGTGGCTCATTGGCAGAGCAGGTGCTCTGCAGGGCTGAGGTCTCGGCCGGCACCTGCTGTCTGCCGGAGTAGACAACACTGGGCTAGTCTGAGCAATGTCTGAGGCCGTAACACAGCATCATAGATACATGTGTATGGAAAGCAAACAAGAAATGGGCATGGTTTTGGGGATAAGGCTGGCTGTAAGATTTGAGTAACCAGCAACCACCGTCTCGTATCTGAAGAAGTGAGCAGTGACTCACAAAAGCTCCTAAAGGTAAAGGTAAAGGTTCCCTTGCTCGAAAGCCAGTCGAGTCCGACTCTAGGGTTGTGGTGCTCATCTCCGTTTCAAAGCCGAAGAGCCAGCGCTGTCCGAAGACGTTTCCGTGGTCATGTGGCCGGCATGACTAAACACCAAGGCGCACAGAACGCTGTTACCTTCCCACCGAAGCGGTACCTATTGATCTACTTGCAATTTCTTGCTTTCGAACTGCTAGGTTGGCAGAAGCTGGAACTAGAGACGGGAGCTCACTCTGTCATGCGGCCACTCGGGTCTTGAACTGCTGAATTACTGACCTTCCACAGCCTGCAGTTCAGCATCTTAACCCCTTGAGCCACCGCAGCGCCACACAAAAGCTCATACCCTGCCATAAATTGCTAGTCTTTAAGGTGCTACTGGACTCTTGCTCTTTCCTACTGCTTACAGACAGATTAACGCAGCTACCCATCCTGATCCACCGTCCGGGGAGAGAAAGAGAGATGAGGTCAGTGATGGCTACAGAAAACACTTCTGCTGGCTACTAGAAAACTTTGCCAGGATTGTCTGGGCTTTCTGGTCCCTCCTCCAGAGAAGACCCATACATTTTCAGTGTCTTCTCATCCAGAAGGGCCAGAAACATACTCTGAACAATTTACAGCTTTTGTTCTCAGAACATCAAATCCCATGATGGGCACCAGATGTCATATTTGCATATTTAAACCACAGTCACCCAAAATAGCTACTTAATACATTTTTATCCCAATTATTGCACAAAACCAAAAGCATTCAAAAAAGTAGCCAATCAGATACACGGGCTTGGATTTCAGAGAAGGGATTCAAAATTCCCCTCTTGTCATGTACTTATTGGTGTATCACTCGGTGAATCGCTCTTTTGCAATCTAAGGCCACATAAATGTGTGGAAGTCCCACTGCTGTTGCATTTCATTAACAGCCACGGCAGTAATGGAGAAAGCGACACCAGCCAGCCACAGTGTGGATAACAAGTTTCTCATCTGTAAAATGGTCCCACTCAGGGCTATTTTTGGGCAGGAATTCACAGGAACGGAGTTCCGGCTGGCTCCCGAGTTGGCCACATCCAGCAGGAACTCATTAGCATAATAGGCCATACCCAACAGCAGAAACTCATTAGGACTGGCTACATTAGGGGTGTGTGGCCTAACATGCAAAGGAGTTCCTACTATAAAAAAGCCCTGGGCTTTGACAACAAACGAAGTAAACAGAATAAGAAGCAAAAGGTTGGTGTGGCTGGATGACCACACTTCTGCGAACGTGGGGTGTGTGGCCTAATATGCTAATGAGCTGTGCTGTCAGGGGTGTGTCCTAATAAGCAAATGAATTTCTGCTGTTGGGTGTGGCCTATTATGCTAATGAGTTCCTGCTGGGCTTTTTCTACAAAAAAAAGCCCTGGTCCCACTTAACAAGGTTTTTACAGAGGTGATATCGTATTAATAATTATGAAATACTCTGAAATTTCTATTTGCTGTATGAGTTATATCATCACGCTTCCCTGCCTGTGTGTGTTACGTGTTTGTCATGTTTTATTAAATGGTTTCAAATATATTTTTGCGTTTTAAATGCTTTTTAATGCCTGAAATGTTTCACTGTTTTGTTTTAATGTTTAACATCTTAAGGACCCTGAATTGGGTGGAAAGGCGGCCTAGACAGGTTTTAAATAAAATAAATAAAAACACAGAAATACTTCACTGCTAATGCTTGTATTCCAAAGCATATTTCTGTGTACTTCCTCTGCGGCTGAAACACTCAGCTGCCTTACTTCAGCACACTTCCATGGAACGCAAAGAACTCACCAGACTTGAGTTCTGCAGCCTGTAAATTTATGAAGCTGCAGAACTTCAAAGGCCCTATGTATTCCTTAAATAACCTGGTGTGCAAAAGTGCAATTCTGCACTGCCAGTTCCTTGGTAAGGTGCAAAAGGCTTAGAGGAAAGCCTCACCAACCTGGGCTTAGATCGAGACGGGTCGCCATGTTAGTCTGTACGTAGCAGTAGAAAAGAGCAAGGGTGATTTCCCACAAGCGCTGCTAGGCGCTCACTCTTCTCTTTGGCCCGATGGTACGTGTCAATTTCACACAAGCTGCTGCGCGGCCGCATTTTGCCCCGCAGCTTCGTGCGATTTCCCCCGCGTCTACTCAATCCTGTTTTTTGAGGATTGAGTAGATGTGGGGGAAATCGCACGAAGCTGCGGGGCAAAATGTGGCCGCGCAGCAGCTTGTGTGAAATTGACATGTACCATCGGGGCAAAAAGGAGGAGTGAGCGCGGAGCAGCGCTTGTGGGAAATCACCCCAAGAGTCCAGAAGCACCTTAAAGACTAATAAAATTTGTGGCAGGGGAGGAGCTTTCGTGAGTCACTGCTCACTTCCTGGGCTGCCTGTCTCTGTCCAGAGTGCCGACTGTCGATTTCCCCCGTACCTTTTGGCTCCAAAATGAGATGGCTGACTCCTAGCCTCTGGCAGACGTAGTGGAAGGCTTGATTCCCAGGATTGCACCACTGATCAATATAGTCATTTGAGCACGTCCAGACCATGTTGTTCATAGCATCATAGCACGCACCTGGACACAAACAATAAAGATGCCCATCAGTCAAAACAGTTAGGACTCAAAATACTTTTGGTCTGTAATAACCCCCAACCCCCTTCCATCCCACAACTAACACTGTGATAACGCTGCTCGAAGTGGGGCAAAGAGATCGTTGTAAGCCTTTAGATTTGGAATTTAAAAATATTTGGAGTTTCCAAGGCTTGTGGAAATTATCCAACTTCACTCAGCAGCGTCTGAAGTCCCAGGAAGCCTTTCTCCGGCAGAAGACTCGCTTCCGTGGAGGAAACCTCCTTAAGAGGGAGGAAGCCATCAGGCTCTGCTGAGCAGAAGGGTAGCATACAGGCCCAAATATTCAACATCCCATTAAAATCAATATGAAACAGCTATTTCCCACATACGACCCTTTCCTGTGCCAATCCCAAAGAGCTGAATGGATGAATCACCACAACTGCCAGGCAGCACTGCCTCACCATCGGGCAAGACTGCAGCCTGGGGAATCAGAACCATGAACAGTGTGTCACGGGGGTGGGCAAATACCCAGGGTAGGAGATAGCTGGCAGTGGAGAGGCAACCCATTGTCTCCGAATGGAAGGGAACGTGCAGTTACACTCCTGCCCTCAGCAGTTGGAAGGCCATTGACACACAGGTTATTTGCCCTGGGTTCAATGTTGTGTTGGGAAGTAGGGTTTTTCGTGCTTCCCCAGGGCGTCATGGTGCATTTCTGCCCCTCCTGAGGCTTCCCTGGCTTATCGCCCATCTCCCCCTAACTTGCTCTGCAGTGAAATTTTGGGAAAGGTCGCATCAAAGCCTAGATTTCTGCTGTCTGGGTGGGGAAAGTTCAGATTTTTCCAGCCCCACTCTTACCGCAGCCATTTCCCTGCTTCTGTCCCTGCAGTTTGAGCCAGTACGCTTAGGAGCCTGTAACCATCTGAGCCTACATGACATGTTATGCCATCTTGCGTAATAATCACTGACTGCACTTTACTTGAATATTGTTGATTGCTTAAATGTTTTAATAGTGTCTTAAGTTTTAAATGTCTGATGTATAGGAACCTTGGCACACTGTGCCAGGCAATGTGAGCCGCCCTGAGCCCGCTTGTAGGGAGAGCGCGTTATAAATATAATAAATAAATAAATACATTCATACCCACCGCCAACACTGGGGAAGGCTTTCTTAAAAAACTAGCAACTGAATACTGCTGTAACATTGTACAGTCTATATGAGGTTCACCGAATTCCCACCTTCCTTTTTTTTTTAATTACCTCTCTCCTTTTATTGCAACCCTGTTACCTTCCCACTGAAGCGGTACCTATTTATCTACTTGCAATTTCTTGCTTTCAAACTGCTAGGTTGGCAGGAGCTGGGACCAGAGACGGGAGCTCACTTGCCAGCCACATGACCACGGAAACGTCTTTGGACAGCGCTGGCTCTTCGGATTGGAAAAAGAGATGAGCGCCGCACCCCTAGAGTCGGATTCGACTGGCTTTCGAGCAAGGGAAACCTTTGCCTTTACTTTTACTGCAAAGATATAAGGGAAAGGTAACTCTCCGCCATGAAAGTGACCAGAGAATTACTTTTTAAAAAGAAAATGAAAGCTGGGAATTCAGAGAAATCAGCCTCTTATAAGGATATTCAATTGCCAGTTTTTTAAAAAAAACACTCTGAAAAAGCCCCTGGGTCACATTGGGTGTGTGTGGGGGGGGGTGGGGAGCTGCTGCCATGGAACAGGGTCAGGGAAACGACAAAGATACTTTGCCATGTGGCAGCCCTGTAGCCTCTGTGCTGGACTGGCAGCCGCAGCAACAACGGGGAAACCACACAAGCCTGTCTCTGTTTGGAAAACAACGCAGAAGGGAAGGGGCGCCAGGCAGAAGCATTCCACGCCCTGGGCGGCGGCACCTCAGGGAAGCCCAGCACTGAGCCCACTAACCCAGAATCTTATCCCGACGTCAACAGCACCAAATCATAATTAAGTATGCCAGGGAGAGAAGCAAGAATCACTCGGGTGCAGGAAGGGCCACGGGGAGAACTACTGTCTCAGCGTGGAGCGCACTGATCGACAACACCTGGTCAGGGGAGAGCAGGAGAATTACAGAGCAGCTGTGCCGCCCTTTCAGCCGGACCTGGCCAAGGAGAAAGTCCTCCAGGATTCCATAAGGGCAGTCAGACGTCAAGAACAGGCTTTGCTCTCGCCCGGCTCCCCCTCCCTTGGCAAAAACACAGCAGTACAGATCAGGATCAAAGCAGACCTGCCGGGGTCCTTGTGTCTGCCAGGATCGGGCCCCTGCGACGTGGTGGCAGCAACGTCCCCAGGGCAGACATGAGGTTGGCCCTCGGGCTTTCTGGGGACAGGGCTGGCCTGTCGCTACAATGGGGCCTCCCAGGACCCGGCCCCCTGACTTCTTCCCAGGGCCCCCACGACTTTTGAGGAGAAGCCGGGGGAGGCTGTGTGCACCTGCACTCCAAGCTGCGGATTCGTGGCCCGGAGTGCAGGTGCGCAAGGCCTATCCCTGGCTTCTCCCTCAAAGCATTTAAAGGGACCCTTTAAATGCTTGGGGGGGGGGAGAAGTGGGGCAGCATGCGGGGGTGGTGTGCGAATTTCAGTGCCCCCTTTTTAAAAGCCCCCCCCCCAAAAAAAAAACTAAAAAATCCTGGCTACGGGCCTGGGACAGGGCTTCACTTTCATTTCCCACTCAGCCCAGCCTGTTCTCTATCAGAGTCAATGGTCCTTTCCGCACTTGGATCTCATCCCTGGTTCAACTCGGGACACGATACTCCTTGCATTTATCCCTGGTTATTACAGCGTCCGTTTATCCCGGGACAAGTGTGGGGCGAAACCGGGGTGACCTCAGTGTAATGTGGAAACAAAAAATACCCCGAGATAATTACAGGGCTGAACTCGAGTGTAGCATAGAATGTAAAAATACCCTGAGATAATTACAGGGGTGAACTCGCGTTTGGTGTAGAATGTAAGTTCGGGGACAGGGTTGAACCAGGGTTTAAGGTCTAGTGCGGAAAGGACCAATATGACTCTGAACACCCAGAATTATTCTGAATATATGGAATTATTAAAGTTGGAAATATCCAGAACGTGACGTTATGGTTCTGTTCTGGACAAACCCTGGTCAGGGATGATCTAGGCTGATCCTGCATTGAGCAGGGGGTTAGACTAGATGGCCTGTGTGGCCCCTTCCGACTCTGTGATTCTAGGATTATCTGGTAAATGCCAAATATTTCCAAATCTGAATTGCGCATCCTTACGAGAAGCAGGTTTCTAACAGAACACCTGAGGATCTCCAGCTTTCCTAAGAAAGCCATTAAAAATCAGCTTCCCCCGACCTCCCCCCACCACCAATGTCTCAACAGGTGTCTCTCTCTCCCCCTATTCCCCCCCCACACACACACACTACAGAGCCATGCGGTTTAAAACCCCAGTAAACTAAGAAGTGTTCAAAGGAAGCTTCGTACAGCACTTACTGCTCCTGTCTACTGATCTGCCTGATCCCTTCTTTAAGTTTGTGCCAATATATGTTGCTTATTGGCATTTTAATTGACTTCCTGGAGGAGTGGTGTCAACCCCTTAATAAGGTTCAAAGCAAGTTTACAGTTTCAGATAGTGGTTCCGTAATTATATGCCAGTAATTGCCTCTTATTTGTATATTTTATTGGCTTCCCCTTCCTTTAATAAGTTATTTGCACAGTCAAGAAAGGGCAGGGTTCAACTTGTGAACTGTTTATAGCCAACCAGCTTCTTCCTGAAGGAGTTTATTATAATCTGAGCTCTCGGGTCCTGTTGTTTCAAACAGCAGGTCATGTATAAAATGCATCTTCATTCCTTACCTAGACCGGGAACAAGGGCACTGCGTCCAAGTGAGCTCCCGGCAGCATCGATGAGATCCGCTCGGCTTGCAAACTGCCCGTCTGATATATTGAACACCAAGCTTGAAGCCAGAACTTTAAACAAAGAACCTCCAATCAATCTCTCAAAACCTGATATATTTTTCAAGTAATAAAGTCTTCCACTGTGCCTACGGGAAGTGCTTAGTTTCTAAGGTGAGAGACACTGGGACTGGAACACGATTGGAAGCCACACCTTTTGACCTGGAATGTCTAGGGGGATGAGCCATCACTCGGTGATAGAGCCCCTACTTTGCAGAAGGTCACGGGTTCAATCCCCAGCATTGCCATTTGAAAAAAAGATAAGATGTCAAATGATGGGACAGATCTCTGCCAGTTGGAGAAGACAATAATGGGTCAAGATGGACCGATGGCTTGACTCAAAATAAGACAGCTCTCAGAGTTCATGTGTGCCTGTTCTTCCCGGCTTTTGGAAGGCCAGCCATGTTTACTAAGCAGGGATAAAAAAGGCCCCCAAGACACTTTCAACATTTCACATTTTTAAACGCAAGTTACTCTTCTTCCCATATGCTGTGTCTTTCTACTTCTCGCTGGCAATCTCAGCCTCTCTCTCGCAGCCTCTCTCCCCACTCTCTGTTACAGGCTAGAAACCAGACACACAAAATTGGGAATCAATGTCCTAAACAAGAACAAATACAAAGCACCCTGTGGAAGCATTTAGATCAATAAACTCCTAATGTATTTTAACAATATTCATGTCACTACCAGAAATACACAGAAAATGATACATTATAATAGTATCAATTCCTACTATATTCTAATAATAGTACAGAACAGGAATTCATAGTAAGTGAGGTAGACTACTACTGAATTATTATTATTTTTAGTCCAGTCCTCTTGGCAATTTATGACTGAGCTTAACAAGATTTTCAGCTTTTGGGGAATTCTTACTATTTTTCAGCCTTGTGGGATTCTTACTATGAGGGTGCTTTGGCTGGGCTTCTTTAAGAATTATTTTGGACCTTGAGATATGGAATTAAGTTGCTGTCCTGGTGACTGTAGCAAGAATATATATTTCTGATGCACAGAAATCACAAAAACTGCCAAAGTTGATGGACCGCTACTCTCCTGACTAACCCAACTTAATACGGAAGAGAAGCAAGACACATACAGATTTGTAAGGAGATATGTTACGGAGCAATTATGGGACATAAGATTTCCTGGTAATGCACAGTTGTATCGCAGTGTTCCCTCTGAGCTGATTTAGTGTGAGCTAGCTCACAGGTTTTTAGCCTCCGGCTCACACATTTTTCTCTCAGCTCAGGAAGGACAGCTCCAGAGCAAACTAATTTATGCAGGAGCCAAATTGCTCGTTCACAACTTTAAAGCCAGTCGCTCACAAAGAATTTTTGCTCACAAGACTCCACAGCTTAGAGGGGGCAGTATGAACTGTTTTCTTTGATTTTAAAAATAAAAAATGTAAAAAGCGCTTCTGCTTTACTTTGAAAGATTTTGGCCAAACTTAATGTAGGTTAATCAGATATGAAGAACTGATCAATGAATTCCTGTTTGCTCCATATTGTTGTTTTACTTAGGATGTGCCAAAGACTGATACTGTCACACATATTATTTTAGAAATGTGTTGATACAGATTTATTGATGAATGTTATGATAGTGTTTTAGAATAGGTGGGTAGCCGTCAATGCTCCCTCTAAGCTGTGGAGTCTTGTGAGCAAAAATTCTACTTGGTGGGCGACTGCCATTAAAGGTGTGAGCGAGGGATTTAGCTGCTGATCAGTTGGCTCTGGAGCCATCTTTCCTGAGCGAAGACAAAAATGTGAGCCGGAAGCTAAAAAACTGTGAACTGGCTCACACTAACTCAGCTTAGAGGGAAAACTGCAATGCTCCCTCTAGGCTGTGGAGTCCTGTGAGCAAAAATTCTACTTGGTGAGTGACTGCCATTAAAGGTGTCAGTGAGGGATTGGGCTGCTGCATAAATCAGTTTGCTCTGGAGCCATCTTTCCTGAGCGAAGACAAAAATGTGTGAGCCGGAGGCTAAAGAACTGTGAGCCGGCTCACACTAACTCAGCTTAGAGGGAACACTGATACCAGGGTCTGTTCTCTCTCTCTCTCTCTCTTGTAAGTGTTTGAGGGGCTGTCAAGAGGAGGGCAGGGAGCTGTTCCTGTTGGCAGCAGAGGATAGGACTCACAATAATGGGTTTCAATTAAGGGTGGGAAGCTACGCTCCCTCCAAGCTGTGGAGTCTTGTGAGCAAAAATTCTACTTGATGAGTGACTGCCATTAAAGGTGTGAGCGAGGGATTTGGCTGCTACATCAATCAGTTTGCTCTGGAGCCCTCCTTCCTGAGCGGAGACAAAAGTGTGTGAGCCAGAGGCTAGAAAACTGTGAGCCGGCTCACACTAGCTCGGCTTTGAGGGAACCCTGGTAGCCGTGTTGGTCTGAAGCCACAGTGGTAGACACAAACTTTGTTCTAGTTTTTTAGAAGTTTATCGTACAACCACTTTCATGGGGTGGTGATGCCGTGGTTGCTGTAGATCAGCAACCACCCAAGCAAAGTCTATGTACACAGCTGGGGCTGTACAAACACGCAGCCGCATCACCCTCATGTACTCCAGGGATAAAGCCTGAGCCGAACACTGGTTTGGGACTGAACTTTGGCTAGCCTCGCCTGAGCTCGAGCTAAGTCCTGAACTGGCCAACCACTGAGAAGGGACTGGGAGGAAACTCTCCCTTGGAGGCTGAGCAAAAGAAAAGGGTTCCCAAAACAAGACTGGGTGAAAATGAGAAAACTGCTACCAAACAGACCATCTGACAGAACGCTTTGCCAATTTCTGAGGCCAGCAGAGCGAGCAGAAGTGAGGCAGGCAGGCAGGCAGGCAGGCTGCAGAGAACTCACTTTTTAAGGACGACAAACCACTTGTTCCACCAAAAAGAGACCGTGTGGCGGAGCTGCCAGAACCACCCGGAGGTGGGACCAACATCACCAAATACGTTCCACAGGTGTATATCGGAGTCTTCCGTAGCATTTTGAGAGGCAAGCCACAACTTGTGTTAGCAGCTGGAAAAATTCAGACAAAAGTTGTGAGAAGCAAACAAGACACTTTCCCCCATTAAAAGGAAAGCAAGAAGAGAAAGATCTGGAGACAAAATGGGATTCAAGCCCAGAGACATAACAGAAGCAAAGATACAACCACTTTCAATGTGTAACACTTTGAAGAGGGGCGGCAGGTCATTAGAATTCCCTGGAATGTGCGGATTCTTCGTAAGAGCACAAACGGGCTGTTTTCACGGGACAACCCCGAGTGTGTCGTGTCCCACACCGCCAGAGAAGCAACTCTAAGGATTGGACTCCAGTCCAATACCTGTTAAATACACACTTGCTTGACTTGAACCTGGCTGAATGAATCAGATATTGTAAGTCATGGGGGCGTCAGCTGGGTACAAAGTCAGCCGCTTCAAAGCAGAAGACCTTTCCGCACTTGGATCTCATCCCTGGTTTTATCAGAGTTCAACTCACGACACGATACCTTGCATTTATCCCTGGTTATTACAGCATCTGTTGATCCCGGGACAAGTGTGGGGCGAAACCGGGGTGACCTCAGTGTAATGTGGAAACAAAAAACACCTCGAGATAATTACAGGGGTGAGTGTAGTGTAGAATGTAAGTTTGGGGACAGCGTTGCACCAGGACTTAAGTCTAGTGCGGAAAGGACCTATATGTACCTTGCACTGGGCAGCAGGGAAAAGCTAGAGACACTGGTTTACCATCCACCTAATTTGCCAGTAAGCTCCCTGGCTGAGATGATAGAGGTGATCTTGAAAGACCACCACAGATAACCATAATTTCAGTATCTGTGCCACAGCCGCACTGTCAGGCCAAGCTCTGGACCTCATGGCCACTATATGACAACATTGGGACTGTCTCAGGTTATGGTGGGCCCAACATATGAAGAAGGGTATACCTTGGGATCTTCTTTTCTGTCCCAAGTAGCTTAAAGGTAATCTAATTAGGGGGACTGTCTCCCCATTTCATGGTTCTCTGGCTCCGCCTGCCATAATCTTACCTAGGGTTGCCAAATCCCCCGGTTTGCCAGGGGTCCCTGTTTTTTGGGGGGGTTCTACCCGCCCCACCCCCAACACCCACAGCCACCCATCTCTCTCCCTTTAAGTGTGTGGAACCCGTGTTTCCTCCCAAGCCCAATCGCCGCAAGCTTGCAGGGAAATGCCAGCTTTGTGCTCTTAAAAGGGAAATGCGGCTGCTCTTAAAGGGGAAACGCCGGCTCCTGCATTTAAAAGGGAAACGCCGGCTCCTTTCAGTGCAGGGAACTGCCGTTTCTGGAGATCTGGCGCATGGGCGGGTGAGGGGGGGGCAGCGGACGTCCCCAACGTGACGTCATCATGTCGGGGATGCCCTGCCCCCTCCAGGAACGCCCCCAAAGTCCCCCGCTGGGGGTGGAAGATGGACTTGGCAACCCTAATCTTACCAGAGCCTGCTCCTTTTCAACAGAAGCTCCCGCTTTGTAGGACAGAGTCTACGAGGAAGGTGCCATCCTCAGACATTTTTAGAAGAAACTGTAAGGTTGTTTTATTTGCTAAGGTAGGAGTCCCCGGCCTTTCTCAGCCTGCGGGAACTTTGGGAATTCTGACACAGCATAGTGGGCACAACCGCAAAATGACGGCCACGAGAGGTGAAACCAGCCACAAAATGGCTGCTGTAGAGCTGACCTTCGGTCGCACAGTGAAGATCTTTGTGCTGGGGTGGCAGCTGCCGCCAAAGCGGCGTTTCAAAAAGTCTCAAAGACTTTTAAGGCTCCTAAGAGCTCTATGAAAAGGGAATGTGAGTAAACTGAACCTTTGGATGCTTAAAAGTTGAATAAAAGTTGATTCTAAACAAGTGATGATTGTGTGTTAAATTCTCAGCGATTTCTCACTAGAGCTGCCTCGCAGCACAGCGCCGACAAACATGTCAATTTCACACCCGAAGCTCCGGGGCTGCATTTTGACTCGGGGCTTCGCCCGATTTCCTGCGCAGTTTCGTGATCCTGGTTTTTGAGGATTATGAAACTGCGGAGGAAATCGGGCGAAGCCCCGAGTCAAATGCAGCCCCGCAGCCTTGGGTGTGAAATTGACATGTTTGTGTTGGGGCAAACGGCGCTGTGCTGCGAGGCAGCTCTAGTGAGAAATCGCCCTAAGAGTCAGCTCATGCTGCCGGGAACAGCACAGGGGGGCTGTGTAACAAGATTTCACTTTATTATGGACAGTTTTCATTTAGAATTGGAAGCTACCTTGAGCCACAAGGGAAAAACCAGGTATCCACAAACCAAAATCAATAAAGGTGCAATGTTATTGCTAAGAAGTCCTTCCTCACCTGCTTGGTCCTCTTTCAGCGTATTGGAGATCGTGGAGCCAGTAAGGGCAGCCAGAGTTGCTGATGGAGAGGCCCTGTACCTCGACAGCCTGCTTAGAAGCATCTCATTGATACTCTTGGCTGAGTCTCCCTCTTTTCTCATTAATATGATGCGTTCCTGAAGGGGATTGGCTACACAGACACCATCTTCCTCCTATTAAGATGATCCAAGAGTTTTAATTCTCCTTGGGAGAAACAAAATTCACTCTAAATCATACATAAATCCCCAAAGACAAGGTCAAAAGGGAAAAAAAATATGTAGAGCTTTGAGTACAGTGCACTGAGTAGGGTGTTGGCGCCAGGGGCTTATAAAACTCAAACTGCTCCTTTATATAAAGAAAAACAACTGCACATTATAAAAAATTAACTGCACATTAAAAACAGCTGGAGCAACACACAACAGAATAGCAATCAACACAACCTAACTTAACAGACTTAACAATCATTTACTAGAAAAACAGTTTGGTAGAATAGTCTGACTTCCTACAAAGATAACACGAGAGAACCTCCTTAGGCACTGTGGTCCACGGCAGCATCGACAAGGTGGGCAATGAACCCTCCCCGGGTAGATCTTCATGATCAGACATTTAATCTGCACACACGGTAGGGAAGGCTTACGCTTAAACCCTTAGCAAGCACGGCCCCCCTTGCGTCACGTTTTAGTCCCACCTACTTCTGTTAGCCATTGTGAACATAAAAACACCGTTATGATCCATTGCTTTTCTCAGGCTTTCGCAGACTGATTTCCTTCTACAGTCGATCTCCTTTTATTGTGCTCGTATCCTTCCCAGTCCCCCTTCCGTACAAGCATAATGTCTTTTAGATCATAAGCTGTGGAACAGGGTCCTTATAGTTTCTAATCATGGAAACCTAGTTTTAGGGCACTGTATGTGAAATATACTGAGTTCGAGACGCGTGTAGTGATCAGCTCATGGTTTACGAAGTGATTTCAGCAGAACATAAGATGACTCTAGCAGGGCTGAAGCCCTGCTTATAAGCCCGTAGATCGACACACCCGTCACACACCCACTCCCGACAACAGGCTATTTACACAACATAGCATCCTAATTGGCGGCTGCCCAGATCCTGATGGTCTATTGTTATTCCTCCCCAAGCTCACCCTGTCTCTGACAGCATCGTCTTGCAAGGCAACTGGCTCAGTACATAACAGTATGAATAATAACCATGTGCTATAATAAAACAATATGAAGGATATATAACCTAAGCCACCGGGTTTGAGATGGAAAACATCTAAACAATAAATAATTAAGCCACAGCATGGAATGAAGAACTGCTATGGCACAGACTTTAAATAGTGAACCAGGCATACCCTACGCCAGTGGTGGCAAACCTATGGCACGGGTGCCAGAGGTGGCACTCAGAGCCCTCTCTGTGGGCATGCGTGCCATCGCCCCAGCCAGGCCCAGACCATCATTAAAGTGTCGAATTCTCTGCCAAATAATTTTAAGTAAATGAAAGCATTTGGGATTGCTTTCCTTACTCTGTTTGGATCACCTTAAGTTAATGTATGAGTGGTTTTTTCTAAAGTAAAACCTCATTATTCAGGTTAAATTGCCGTGTTGGCCCTTTGCAATAAATAAGTGGGTTTTGGGTCGCAGTTTGAGCACTCAGTCCCTGAAAGGTTCGCCATCACTGCCCTACGTAGTATGCAGAGTAAATCAGAAGTGTGTTGGAAATAGCAGCACTAAGCTGCATTCTTTGCCAGCACCTTAGAAACAGCACTTACGATCAGCTCAAAAACATCCATGAAGACAGAGTGTCCCTTGGGGGTTTTTTCATTCAAGCTTGCAGGAGACCAGATCCAGTAGAAATAGGTCCCATCGGAAGAAAGATGTACAGTGGTCATAGTGCTGCCTACTGGGAAGTGGTCTGCTGGCATTGGGAGAAGCTGACATACCTGCATCATCATGACACAAAAAGAAAGGCGTAAGCAGGGAAGAGGGAGTTTGTTTTGTCTTGAATATCTTTCTGATTTACACAGTGAACTCCGATTCTAGAAGTCCTACTTCAGGCTGGCTTGCATGTCTCATTTGCCCAATTAAAATAAATGACTGCTTTCTAAGACTATTGAAAAAAATCACACACCACCATAACACACATATAAGTACCTAAAAATTAGACTGAACTGCTTCTTATTTTTTCACAGCTCAGTGAAATCACTACAAACAAAACCCATGGCTTTGCAAACTCATGCTTGCAAATCAAAACACTGAAATGCTAAAATGTTCAATATGCTTCAGTTCACATGCTCTCCCATATAAGCACTCTCACACTCTTGGTTTTTTTATAATATTAATCCACATCTCTGAAACATAGAATTAACCAAAGGAAACAGGAAGCTACAGACGGGTGACGGAGCATCTGTTTCTTATACACCTGTGGTCCCAGCTTTGATGCCTGGTTATCTCCAGTTAAGCAGCACAGCTAAGAAAGATAAAAAAGACACCACCTATCTGCTGGGCAGAGAAGACAAAGGCTGTGGTCACACAGCAAGCGTATCGCAATTTGTTCCCGCTGTAGATTTGATCGGGGATATTTCTAAGCGGGTTCATATGATCACACATCCCTTGTCCAACCGCTTGCTTTTCACGACGATGTTCCAGGCACTGTCCAGACAGCTGTGCCGCCCAAGTGGCGGCGTGGCACAATTTAAAAAAATAATAATATTTGCACATACACATATGCGCATACGCATGCATGCGCACAATGGTGAAAGTCACAAAAAAAAAAACCTACCGGAAGGAGGGCATTCAGATGACCTAATCGCAATCACTGCAAGAGATGGCTGTCCAGATAGGCAAAATCATGGATTCAAAGCGCAAATACCCAGAAAGTACTTGATTTCCCTGGTGTCGGAAAACTCGCTAGGGAACCGGGAGGATAGCGCGAGTGAGCCCACTTCGGTGTGGGAGATGGATGTGGGCGTCTGGTCGGCAATTTTAAATGTGAGAGGGAACAGCGGTGAAACCCGACCAAAATGACCGTGTGACCACAGCCAAATACTGGCCAATGTAGATAAGGCAGCTACACGTCAGAGCAGGACAGAACAATCCCCACTTGCCATCCTGACATGGATCATAACACTGAAACTAGAAATGTCTTTAAATGTACAAATTAAACACAGTTTTAAAAAGCACATGGCCCTCAGCCTCCTGGCGTCACTCATGCCCTCAGCCTCAACCTCTGTACTAGTATATCAGACTGCACAATGTCTCTTCCGCCACTCTGGCATAACATTTTGAGGCACTGTGCAGGACAGCCGTTGATACCACTCCTACTGGCGGTTTATTTTGCTGAGTCTTAGGATCAGGGCCATGAATCACAGATACAGCCAGCATGCAATATTTTGCTGATCCACAGGCATTCTAGATACTGGATTCCTGTCCTTCAAAGACAGATTGCTACTGAGTCATCTCTGACAGACATAAGGTAGATTTTTCTGAACAGTCATCCAAGTGCTAAAGTCCTACACTTCTATGCTTCAAGACAAAAGGCAATAAAGCTCTTAAATTTCTACAATAAAGAAGTGCTACAAAAAAGACAAAGCACACAGATAAATTCTAATCTACGTTTCTGAAGCACCGCACACTTTCCAAAGGCAACTGACAGAAAGAATAACTGATAAGGCATGCTGAAGTAGTCAGTCTTAACAGCACATGTTTGGAAGCAGGCAAAGTCGTCACAGTGCTTCGTACCTTAAGGGACCATCTTTAATATCCTATGACCACCACTGCAAAAAGTATCTCTGATTAACAAATCAAATGTGAGCGGGCAGCAGGAGACGGTAGGCAAAGGACCTCAAAGCTTGCCCTCTCTCACGCATGGCGTCCTGGAACAGCCCTGCTACATGTACCGCTGACTCCAGAAATTTAGCAGATAGCAACATGGGACAGGGCCTTTTTGGAGGCAGCAGCAAGGCCCCGGAACTCCCTCCCCATCAAGTGTATCTGGATACCTTCTTCTCTACTTTTTGTAAACCGGCTTTCCCCTTAAATTTTCACAAATTGGTCCAGTCAAGCAGGCTTTTAATCCGGTTTACATTAACACCCAACATTTTGCTTTACCACTGAATATCAGAGTGGCTCCGTTAGACGATTGCGTGTGTTGGGTTCGATTCTGCCGGTTCTGGAAAGGGTTGATAACAATTTGTGATTGTTGTGGGTGTTTGTGATTGGATTATAATTGGTTCTGCTAGGGTTCACTGTTTAATGGGGTCCCATAACCAAAAAAAAATTAGGATACATAAGCCACCCTGAGCCTGCTTCGGTGGGGAGGGTGGGGCATAAATCCAATGAATAAACCAACAAATAAATAAATATAAGGCCACCCAAAGATGATCTCACCAGCAGTCCTTAAGAAGATGTATATTAAATAAGTTCAAGGTAGCCATGTCTAAGTAAAGAGACAACGAAGCTTATATTACACATTGGCTGAATATGAGAAGCAATGAATCTTTTCCCAAATTATCTCCCGGATAGAAAAGAAAAAGTAACTTCTTCATTTCTTACCTGAAGAGTATTCTGGTCGAGGACCTGGAAAAGGGAGTGAGGTTTACTATCAAAAGAGACAGGCCTGTGAAGGAGTCTGCCATGGCCAAAAGCAATCCAACCCGTCTCCAACTCTTCATTACGGCAATACACAAAGCCTCTAAGGGGGAAAAAGCAGGAGATTAAAACTTCAGAAAATCCTTAATGCATCGACTTTATCTGCAAAACTATAAACGAGGAAACATGAAGGGTTCGTGAGGTGGGGGTGTTTCAAAAGGGAGCGTCTATACCAGGGGTCCCCAACAGGGTCCCCGTGGGGGCCATGGAGCCCATCGATGCTTTTCTTGGCACCTTGGCACCTTTAGAAAGTGGGTAGGGCCAAGTGGGGCTTTTGCTCAGCAGAGCTTCTGAATGGCTGTGCAGATTTTTTAAAAACATAGGTCGAATCTGCATTTGCATTTTTAAATCCGTTTCGTGCTGCTGTTGACGCCGTCTTTCTCTACGCTTGTTTGAACATTGTTTGGAGAAGATTCATTTAAAGCAGTGCGGAGGTGCAATGACGGTGGAGCCGCCACGAGAGGGCAATAAACATATGCAGACATGCAAAAGTATGCTAGCACTGTTGAGGTTTGAAAACGAAAGCAAATGTAGTCAGCTTTTTTGGAGATGGAGTCAGAAGGCTGGGACACAGGTGGGAAAGACAAATGCATATTCAACCATGGTTTTGGCAGCAGCTGATACCACAGCACAATACTCACTGTGTGACTGAAGGTCAGCTGCTGCGGCCCTTTGGTGCCGTGCCCACCACCCTGTGTTAGAATTCTAAAGGTGTCTGCAGGCTCAGAAAGATGGGGGACCCCTGGTCTAGACCTTAGCAATTCTCTAGCAGCTTCGATGGGAATACAAGAGATAAAACACAGGGCTGCCTGGAACAAGCAACGAGGCGAATCTTTGCAGAAAACACAAATGTTGCCAAGGGAGAAAGAAAAATATTTTCCCCTTAACTGAGCAGAGCCCAGTGGGTTCACACCAAGCTTTAAAGACAGACTTATACTCTGACTGACACAACAAATGAGGCAAGTAAAATTTATTTGAGGGCAAACTGCTTACTAGCTCCGTTGCTTAACGTGGCCTGAGAAACAGATACAAATGTTTTTCGTGAGGTTCCCGGGGAAGGCAAGCCATCCTTTGCAGAGTTACTTCTGTCTAAAGGCCGAACGATACGCAGCATTTTATGACCCAACTCTCATTTCCCTCTATCAGACAACATCTGCTGGGAATGAATTTTTCAAGAGCTGCGAGGCCTGATTCAGACTGCAGCAGCAGCAGCATGGGGGGAGAGAGGGCTTCAACAACCCCCCTCCGGTGACATTTTCCTGACCCAAGATGTTCCAGGGTACGTGATTTGCTGGGGAGGGGGGCTTTGTGAGCATTTTGGGCTTTTAGTTGCTGTAGTGCAAGGACATTAAAAACTGTCTATCGCCACAGTCTACTAGCTCCTCTGAATCCCCAGATTTCATTCTCTAGCTCTCATCACTACAATGAAAAAGGCTAAATGAAACCTAGGAATTCAGAGGAGCTAGACTCAATGTTCCCTCTAAGCTGCGGAGTCTTGTGAGCAACAATTCTACTCTGTGAGCTACTGGCATAAAATTTGTGAGCAAGCGATTTGGCTACTGCGTAAATTAGTCGGCTCTGGAGTCATCCTTCCTGAGCGAAGACAAAAATCTGTGAGCTGGAGGTTGAAAAACTGTGAGCTAGCTCACACTAACTCAGCTTAGAGGGAATACTGGAGCTAGTAGATTGTGGCAACGGACAGCTAATGCTGGCTACAGTGATCCAGCCATTGCCACTTTTAATAAAAGCCAAAAGAAGCCCTCCAATGAGGGGGTGAGGCAAGGAAAACGCAGGGGAGAGTGCTACGTGGACACTATGCCGCTGCTGCGAACACCTCAACATTTGCAGTGACAACAAAAGCTGAACAGAGAATCATGCGGAAGCAGCCTACAAGATCAGAACCTTCCTTGGATCTGGGAGGAGGAAGGCAGCGTAAAAATGCTTTAAAAAGTGAATATATATATTCAGGGTACATTGATGAACTGTAGTCCACCCTCCCAAACCGTCCTATGCACAACAGCAAGAGTATTCTGGAGCACGCAGTCTGCAAATGTGATCTTTAATTTTTCACTATCTTCACCAATGGATCAGAATTATTAATTCAGATTGCTACGCAGAGGTTATTCAGTTTCCGACTGGTTTTCAAATTTGAAAATACACACATACGTGAAATACAAACAACAACAACAAAATAAATACTATGCCAAGTTGTAGAGGTCGCACACTGAAATTCATGAGCCAATCCCACTGCTGTGCTCTCAGAGAAACTGTGGTACAAACGTTTTAGGGACACCGCCCTCTAACAATTTGTTGCATTTTAAAAGCCTGCTACAGCATAGACTAATTTGGGCATTTAATGAAAATGTGGCTTACCGTAAGGTACCGTGTAATCCAGATCCTAATTTGCTTATTCCCCGGCCAACCGAGTTTGTTGTATAAAGATAACACCCATCTGCTGCGAGGCAGCGGCCCAAGTCTGCATCTGTAACAAGAAGCGTGCATGCAGAGGAAACCTCTTCCCAGGCAGCAAAGTCACTGTTATCAGGCAGGGGGATCTTCTCTATGCTGCTGGGAAGGACCTGAAGAAGCATACTTCTACATGGGCCAGAAGCAGCATACTCAAACTTTCCCCCAAAATACTTCTTACCACTGGACCTACATGCTCAGGACTGCATATTTCTGTTCCTAAAAGACAGCAGCATTTGCATGGTCCCCTGATCTAGCTTTATAGTCCATGATTCAGCAAGGGCAAGTCAAGCTTCTTTTTAGGCAAGAACTCGGCCATTCAAACCACCCAGCAACACATATAGCATAGGAATATACGGCTGCGGTCACACGGAGCATTAGCCACGCTACAGAGACGGAAGATAGGCGGATTTTCCGGGCGCGATCACACCGCAACATCTGGGAAGTGTAGAGCTCCCGTGGCGAACCCGAGGCTTCCCGCCGAAGATGCAGAGTTAAAAACTAGTACCTCCGAGGTACTAGTTTCCGGAAACCGCGGGGCAAGGGCTGGCGTCTGATCGCGTTTCCGGTGGTGGTGTCTGGCGCCTGCCCATGTCCCTTCGCAAACAGGTTTCCCCCCCTCCCCAAGTCTCCACAAGATGCGCACAAGCACCCAACAGCGCATGCGCACAAAGAGGGAAGCGAAAATAAATGACCCCGTTTGTCACGGCAGTGGCGCCTAGCCATTGCTGGTGTGATCGCGCCGCTTCTTTGTCGTGCTGCAGGATCATCATGTGATCGCCACCCCTGTTTACCCGCCGGCGCCGAGGGAAGGACCTGTGGTGTGCCGCCGGCACGTCTGACCGTGTAATCGCGGATCAAACTGCGCCAGGGCAATTAGCCACGCCTCCCCCTCGCGATATCCGGCCCATGTGACCGGGGCCTACTTTACTCATCTTTTGGCACATCCATAAATGTTTCGCAGCGATCTGCATGCCCACAGACAATTATTCATTCCCCTGTTACTCAAGTTCTTGAAGTTACACAGTAAGAGGAACTACTGCCAAGTCAACGCAGAAGACCCACTGTTAGAAGCACATTTCTAAGACTCACATTACTGTTCCAAATGGGCAACTGGTTGGCACAAACTCAATGGTTATATGTGCCTCTTCTGTGGTTGATACCCCTCGTATTCAGGAACCGTGCACTCCTCTTGGAAAGAAATACTTTGGGCTTCTATCCTTACCACTTGCTCAGGCTTGTACACAGTTTCTAACAAGCAAACCTCTTCTTGTAACTTCACATATTTATAAGGCAAGGCAATTTAAATGCAAAAATCACCAGACAGCCTGTTACAACAGTTCGGCTTTTTCACATCAAGAGTCTCACCTTTATTTTCGGAGCCAGAACCAGGGTTACCATCAGGTGCTGGCAACATGTCTTCAAAACCCCAGGAGACCACGTGCTTGCCCCCAAGCAAACAAGAAGGAGATCCAGGGCCCCCTTCCAAAAGCAACAACCTTAGAGAACAGAGACAGGGCTTCCATGAAAGGGAAACATTTCTATGTACAGATAAGAGAGTTCACATTAAAATATGTTTAAGTAGTAAATGATCTATGCTGATTGATATGAACAATGAGAACTATTAGTGTACTTCACAGCTGTAACTGCCTTGGCTTTTCTGATTGTTGACTTTAAAGCTTTTGTAGCCCAGCTAAATTACAGAAATTTCATTATTGCTCAAATCTTAATATTAAACATTTGGTCTACAGCAACCTGTGGTACAATTATCCCCCAGAATCCTCCTTCCTACCTGTATAACACATCAGCCACAGGCAGGGATCCCAAATCGCTCTGCTTCTGCAAAAGGTGCACTGTGTGAACAAATGTTTTCAATGATCCCCTAAGGAAAGAGCCAAAAAACAAGGCATCAAGCCACTTTTTAAAAACACTACATCAACTAACATTTTTTTAGAAGTTCAAGAGTGAAATAACTGGTTCAAAGCCTCAAGATGTCTTTTTTTAAAGAACCTGCTTATTTCACTACAATATATGGTTCATTAGCGTTAGCCGCCCTGAGCCGTATGGAAGGGCGGGATATAAATCCCAAAATAAATAAAAATAAAATACCTCTTTAGAGGGTATTTCAATTTCTAATCCATTTCACAGAATTCTAACAAGGGCCTGGTATGTCTTGATGGAAACACTCATGTTATGCACAAGAGACCTTTCAGCGTGACCCCTGATTACTCAGGTGCCTCTATTCATAAAATATACTGGATAACGGTAACTGCCAAAGGATGTGATTAATTACAGGCTAATGGTACCCAGCCACATCTCTGTTCCTCTGAGACTGCCTCTTCACCTTCCAGAGCCACAACATGCTACAGTTTAGCTGGTTACTGGCACAAATTAAATGTGATCCCAATGCACAGCACCATGGAACAGGCTGCACATATCCTGCTACGTTTCTCTGCACACCCAATTGGAAAAACCCCGGAAGATCTGCACACGAGCAGACACAGCTTTGAGGTATCAATACTGCCTTCTGTCATTCTTCACAGAAGAACAGTGGTGAAAATGCTGAAGGTAAGACAATGAATGAACAAGAGACCAAAGACAGAAAATCTGTGAAGCACCAGAAAGGGCAGTTAAAGAAACTGAAAAGACCACTAATATCCAGCACTGCTATGCCAAGAGCCACTGCAGAATTTCAGCATGGAAAAAAATGAAACAGATGCTGTCTCTTCCACAGTTTTCCCCAGGAGAACAAAAATTTGTGGCAGAACCAATCCAAGGGCATAAAGAAACAGAAATCTTACTGGGAAGAAACTGGTTAGCTTTATGTATTAAGTATATTCCAAATAAGAGCCCTGCAATTTAGGGCAGGGGCAGCAATATGGGAGACTCCAACAATATTTCTTTGGGTTTTGCAGCATGTTGCTCTTCAGTGTGACAATCTGTGAACAGTATGACCTAACACAGAAGCAAACAGAAACAGGATAGGGTGAGAAGAAGAAAAAGTACATTGCCCAAAACTCCCTGTTTCCCCAAATGTCAAGCTAATTTATGTTCATATTTTTTCTTGGGTAAGATGACCGAAATAACTAGCTGGAACTAGGTACAAGCATGGACGGCTTCAAGAGGGAATTGGATAAACATATGGAGCAGAGGTCCATCAGTGGCTATTAGCCACAAGGTATAGATGGGAACTCTCAGTCTGGGGCAAGGGATGCTCTGTATTCTTGGTGCTTGGGGGGGGGGGCAACAGTGTGGTGGGGGCTCCTAGTGTCCTGGCCCCACTGATGGACCTCCTGGTGGCCCCTGGTATTTCTGGCCACTGTGTGACAGAGTGTTGGACTGGATGGGCCATTGGCCTGATCCAGCATTGGCTTCTCTTATGTTCTTATGATTATTCATTATTAAAGAGGGCAAGCTGCGGTAACAGTGTCTTCTGAAGAACTGCAGAGATCATTTTTCAGTCAATTTCAGATTTAAAGCTACCTCGGAAAAAGCATCAATTCTAAAGTGGAGGCTATGTAAGAACAGAAGACCTTCTTGTTATTATTTTTTTTGCACATAAACCTCTCCATATGATGTATTCATATAAAGGTTTTTGAGGCAAAGGTGTATGTTTGTCAATATTAGAACATATTTGCAAGGATACTATTTGCAAGGATCCGTTACTTAGCATTACAAATATCGATGCAGGCAAGAAGGTCAGACCATGTGTGATTGAACAGTGAACGTTACAAGCCTAACTTTGAAGCTATTTCCTGTGACACAGTAGCACTGGAAACCAGTTAGAATCCCACTCACATGCCCTGCTGCAGGTGAGGGGGGAACAACCAGTGACGGGGTTTTTTCAGTGGGGGGGCAACTTGACGGAGGAATTAGGGATGCCAGCCTCCAGGTGGGGCCTGGGGATCTCCCGCTTTTACAACTGATCTCCAGGTGACAGAAATCAGTTTACCTGGAGAAAAAGGCTGCATTGGAAGTTGGACCCTATGGCATCATGCCCCAACCCCTGCCCTCCTCGGTCTCCAACCCCCAAATCTCCAAGTATTTCCCAACCTGGAGCCGGCAATCCTATGAGGAATGCTGGGTTTTCATGTTAAAACTATGAAAATCTTTCTGAAAACTATTTTATCATGTTTTCTTTTATAAGCCACACAGAGTGAGTTTATTCATTTATTTTTGACATTTCTACCCCGCCCTCCCTGCAAGCGGACTCAGGGCGGCTTACAAGAGGGCACAGGCCCATGCATAAAAACAAGATAAAACAATAAAACCATTAAATAACAACGAAACAAGAATAAAGTGCTCCATACAAACAAGATGGTCTCCGAATAATTTCATGGTGGTATCAGTCCTTTCATTGGGAGTGATATTGTCCTGTCGATGGTCCAAGGCTAGTCCAGCGGAATCAGTGCCATGCAAGATTAGGGCAGATCTTCCGGGGACCGACACTGCTACCTTCTCCGGAGAAGGTAGCATACACACATTCAAAATAAACAACTGAAAGATCATGTATAATGTTTGGCTGGGATTGACCGAGACAGGTGCCCCTGTACAAAAAAACTCCCAAACCCTAGCACCATTCAGCTACTACGCAAGAGGATAGCTTTTGCTGAGTAATACTTTAAAAGAAACATTTTAATTTTAAAAAGGGTTAAAAAGACACCCAATAGGACAGTGGTGCCGAACCTATGGCACGGGTGCCAGAGGTGGCACTCAGAGCCCTCTCTGTGGGCACGCGTGCCATCGCCCCAGCCAGGCCCAGACCATCATTAAAGTGTCAAATTCTCTGCCAAATAATTTTAAGTAAATGAAGCATTTGGGATTGCTTTCCTTACTTTGTTTGGATCATCTTAAGTTAACGTATGAGTTGTTTTTTCTAAAGTAAAACCTCAGTATTCAGGTTAAATTGCCGTTTTGGCACTTTGCGATAAATAAGTGGGTTTTGGGTCGCAGTTTGGGCACTCGGTCTCAAAAAGGTTCGCCATCACTGCAATAGGATCTGACTAAGAGCCAAACTACATGTCCAGGTTTTTTAAGGGCTGGGTCTGGATCCCTCAGACTCAAACCAGGCTTCCATGCAGCCACCCTGCAGCTGCAAGGAATGGCTTTTGAAAAATAAAGGAGAGCCCAATCGGACTTGGACCACCATCGTGGGGGAGGAATGGCTCCTGCATCCCCTCCCCTCCCCCCAGCCATTTACCCACGCAGAAACATTGCTGGGGAGAGTGATTTCCCTGTTTTCGCTGCTCCACATGTTTTGTGCAAGTGGAGCAGCAAAATATCTGTTCGCCCCGCACTATTTTGGTGCAGGAAAATGGCTTGGGGATGAAGGCAGGAGCCCTTCCTCTCCCACGATGGCAGTCCAAACATCTATAGAAGATCTGCGAGCAATGCTCCCTCTAAGCTGTGGAGTCTTGTGAGCAAAAACTCTACTTTGTGAGCTACTGGCATTCAAGTCGTGAGCAAGCGATTTGGCTACTGCATACATTATTTTGCTCTGGAGCCATCCTTCCTGAGCTGAGACAAAAATGTGTGAGCCAGAGGCTAAAAAACTGTGAGCTAGCTCACACTAACTCAGCTTAGGGGGAACACTGTTGCGAGCCGGCCATGGGATAGTTGATGGTAGCCATCATGATAGTTGATGGTAGCCATCATGAACTTTAGTACTGGAAACTAGCACTTATTAGGGAATTGTAATTGTTTTAATATTGTTTTAAATATCTTATTATAGTATTAAATGTTTTTGCTGATTTTATGTAAGCTGCCCTGAGCCGGCCTAGGCTGGGAGGGCGGGGTATAAATTTGAACAATAAATAATTAATAAATAAATAAAACTCATTTGCACTCTCCTTCGTTTTTAAAAAGCCACTCCACACTGCTGCTGTGTGGCTGCCCGGAACCCGGACCCAGTTCTTTAAAAAGCTGAATGTGTAAAAAAGGTAAAGGTAAAGGTTCCTTTGCTCGAAAGTCAGTCGAATCCGATTCTAGGGTTGCGGTGCTGATCTCTGTTTCAAAGCCGAAGAGCCAGCGCTGTCCGAAGACGTTTCCGTGGTCATGTGGTCGGCATGACTAAACACCAAGGCCTACGAAACGCTGTTCCCTTCCCACCGAAGTGGTACCTATTTATCTACTTGCAATTTCTTGCTTTCGAACTGCTAGGTTGGCAGGAGTTGGAACTAGATGGGAGCTCACTCCGTCATGCAGCGCACTCGGGTCTCGAACTGCTGAACTACCGACCTTCCACAGCCTGCAGTTCAGCGTCTTAACCACTTGAGCCCTAAATTGTACATTGTTTGTATGGAGGACACAGCTGCTGGGAAGCAACAGGGAAGATCTGCACCTTCGGGCTGTGTGGAATTATTATCTCGTCCTTGGAACAGATGAAATTGAAAGAATACCTACTGATGTAGGACAAGAATGTTGGTGATGTGGTGAAGCACATCTGCAAAGATGATTCCCGTGAAGATGTAACTGAAGTAAATTGCAAAAGTGATTAGGCAGCACTTCTACAGGGCCATTTGAGAATGGTTGTCAAATTACCGTACAGCTTGATCCTGTGAATACAGTTCCTTCTGATCGTGCATTAAAATGATGCAGTTATCACCCAGCTCTCATAATAGCAGTGTCTTGTTTCGCTTTTGCTTTTTATGAAGAAAGCTTAGAGGGAACACTGGTCTCCATACTTGTGTGACTTTGTTTACCCAATGAAAGCAAAATAAACATGAAAAGACAAATGGTGCAAAGGAAAGAACCTTTAAGGATTGTATTAAGCCCTACACGTTTCGCACACAGCTTCATCGGGGGTATCTACCAAAATAATATAAATATAAAAAATTATGTTTAATACATTTATTGATATATTTAACATGTTATATTTAATATAGTTAATACAAAAGCATACGAGTTATACAATCATTAAAGATTCTTTCCTTTGCACCATTTGTCTTTTCATGTTTATTTTGCTTTCATTGGGTAAACAAAGTCACACAAGTATGGAGACCAGTGTTCCCTCTAAGCTGAGTAAGTGTGAGCTAGCTGACCGTTTTTTTAGCCTCCGGCTCACACATTTCTGTCTTCGCTCAGGAAGGATGGCTCCAAAGCAAACTAATGCATGCAGCAGCAAAATCGCTCACTCACGACTTTAATGCCAGTCGCTCACAAAGTACAATTTTTGCTCACAAAACTCCACAGCTTAGAGGGATCACTGACGGAGACTTGTGGTATGGTGTAGTGGTTAGAATGTCAGTTTAGGATCTGGAAGACCCAGACTGGAATCCCCACTCTGCCATGGTTGCTTGCTGGGTAGCCTTGGGCCAGCCACACACTCTCAGCCTAATCTACCTCACTTCTCGCAGGGTGGTTGTGATGGTAAAATGGAGGAACAGATAATTATGTAAGCTGCTTTTGGTCTCTACTGGGGAGGAAGGTGGGGTACAGATGAAGGCAATGAAGGATAAATAAATGAACTTCAATAAATGGAAAAGCAAGGGCCCGTCAACCTCATTCACTTGCACTGGAAAACTCCTCTTCTCTGTGCCGATCTGCAAAGCTTTCCATCTGAAGAGGAGAAATTGTTTTGTCCCCTAAAGTTATGCAAAGGAACTCTGGTAATGGCAGCATTTGGCAACACTACCACTTGGCTCAGAGTAACTTCCAACTACGAAGTGTATACAACAACTACCTCACAACGTTTCCTGTGGTTAGTCCTGCCTTTCCAAGATACAACACCAGGGCTTTTTTTGTAGAAAAAGCCCAGCAGGAACTCATTAGCATATTAGACCACACCTAACAGCAGAAATCTATTAGCATATTAGGTCACACCCCTGACAGCACAGCTCATTAGCATATTAAGCCTTCCCTTGGCTTGCCTGGGCGCCCCATGGCTGTGGGGAGCCTGGGCAAGCCCCCCCTTGAAGGGAAGGGAAGGCAGTTTAAACTGCCCTTGGACAGGCCGGGGAAGGCACGGGGAGGCATTTAAATGCCTCCCCGTGCCTTCCCCGGCCTGTCCAAGGGCAGTTTAAACTGCCTTCCCTTCCCTTCAAGGGGGGGCTTGCCCTTAGCCACGCATGCAGAGGTTTTGGCTGTAGTGGGCGTGGCCAATTCTAAACCCAGCCAGAACTCCGTTCCTGTGCATTCATTCCTGCCCAAAAATAGCCCTGTACAACACTAAGGACCGATGTTGAAAACAAAAGAAACCATCCTTGCTGGGATCACACCAAAAGTCCAGTCAGCTAAAACTCCAGTCACACCAAAAGTTCAGTTTCACACAGTAGCCGATCAGATGCCCCAAAGTGGGCCATGAAACAACCACCTTTCACTACTGTCTGACCCCAGGAACAGGTGTTCAAAGGTACACCGCCTCTCATCACAGAGGCTTCCTTTAGCCATTATGATTAAAAGTTGATGAACTAGTTATAATAATTGGCATCTGTACAGCACTTTCAAGCGTTCCCAGCACTTTATATGCCTTGTAATTCTTATAAGAACCTGATAAGGAATGCAGAAGGCAAACAGAGTCAGAGGGTGATTTACCACAAGCACTGCTCCGCACTCACTCCTCCCTTTTGCCCCATGGTACGTGTCAATTTCACACAAGCTGCTGCACGGCTGCATTTTGCTCCGCAGCTTCGTGCGATTTTCCCTGCGTCTACTCAGTCCTCAAAAAACAGGATTGAGTAGACAGGGGAAAAATCGCACGAAGCTGCGGGGCAAAATGCGGTCGCGCAGCAGCTTGTGTGAAATTGACACGTACCATCAGGCCAAAGAGAAGAGTGAGCGCGGAGCAGCGCTTGTGGGAAATTACCCAGAGTTTCATACCAGGATCTGGGAGACCCAGGTTTGAATGCCCATTCTGTCATGGTGCTCAATGAGTGACCTTGGGCCAGTCGCACATCCTCAGCCTAACTTAATTCACAGGGTTGTTGTGAGGATAAAATGAAGGAGAGGAGAGTGAGAGCCAGTTTGGTGTCGTGGTGAAGTGCGCAGACTCTAATCTGGGAGAACCGGGTTTGATTCCCCACTCCTCCACATGCAGCTGCTGGTGTGACCTTGGGTCAGTCACAAGTGAGCCAGTTTGGTGTAGTGATTAAGTGCGCAGACTCTAATCTGGGAGAACCGGGTTTGATTCCCCAGCACCTGGCTGGATGACCTTGGGCAAGCCACAGTTCTGTCAGAGCTGTTCTTGAAAAAGAGCAGTTTCTGTCAAGAGCTCTCTCAGTCCCACCTCCCTCACAGGGTGTCTGTGGTGGGGAGGGGAAGGAGTTTGTAAGCAGCTCTGAGACTCCTTCGGGTAGTGAAGGGCGGGGTATAAATCCAATCTCTGCTTCTTCTCTTCTGATGTAAGAAGATTGTCTGGCCCTCCCTGGCCCTAAGGACACCAGGCTGACCGGGGCTTTTTCTGTGGCAGCTCCAACTTGGTGGAATGAGCTTCCAGAAGAGATCAGGGGCCTGCAGAACCTTTCACAGTTCCGCAGGGCCACAAAAACGGACCTCTTCCGCCAAGCATTTAGGTAAGGAGCTGCATTTCACCATCTATGCCCTGTGCCAATATTACTTCCAGCCCGAGCCCGCCGATAGTGGAACTTACCTATACACTTATATGCTGAGTGTTATGTTTGCATATGCACTTTATCACAGTTGTACCAGCATTGCTATGTAAATTGTTTTAATTACCATGCTGTGTGTTTTTATATTGACATTTATATTGTTGTTTTATTTATTGTTACCTTGTGTAAACCGCCCTGAGCCTGCCTCGGCGGGGAGGGCGGGGTAAAAATCAAACTAATAAATAAATGGTACAATGGTGGGTATGTGGGAATGAGAGAAGGAAATGGGGGAAGGGTGAGGATATTAGAGTTGCCAGGAGGAGAGAAAGAAGAAACAGCGTGGGGAAGGGAACACAGAGGAAAGTGAGGGGCCCCTCACAAGTTAGGGTGGCCAGGTCCTCCCTGTATGTGGGGGGGGGGGGGGGTGGGAGGGAGCTCTCCGGGAGTAAAGGGCGGGGCAACATCACCGTGCTTAACGATCCCCAAAGTGATGACGTCACTTCCAGGTGATGTTATCGTGTTGGGGCGGTCGCTCCAGGTTGTGGCTGTTGGGGGTGGGGCTCAGGAGCCCGCTCCCACCTGGGGGCTGGCAACCCAACCGCAAGTCCTCGAGAATTCTCCATGATGTAAACTAGGCCCAGCGGCCAACAATGTGCAACTGGCAGCCAGAACTTCTGACCAGTGGCTGGGAAGGAAAGAAGTAAGCAGGAATAAGGAGAGAAGCTATGAGGGCCTTCAGGTACGGGAAAGAGGGAATAGTGGGGGAGGGGAAAATAAGATGCCTCCCTGCAAGTCCTTGCAGCCCCCCCCACTTGCAACTCTTCTCATCTCCAATGCTGAGAAAGAGAAATTTACCACTACAGTCTGCTGATTTCATATCAGTAATCTCAGTTAGCAGCACAACCAAACTACTGGTTGACAAATAAGCTTTCTTCTACTGCCACAACACAAACACAGTTTGGCCTAATACCTGTATCTGATTGATTCCGATCTTTGATCCGAACCTTTGATTCTGCTATTAAGAAGGGTCTGAAGGTTAAGAAATGGCCAATGCTGTCCCCTGTGCTCACCTGAGATGAGATGGAGAGGCTGGGAAGGAGGTGCAAGAATACAAAAGCCAAAGACAATGCCCTTGGTACAATGTCATTCAAGGAGTGAGATGCCAGAATGTTTTCTCCGCTAGGCACACCTCAGTCCGATCCTGCCCAGATTTCCGCCCTCCCTTTTCCTTACCTTGCGCAAGCCAAGGCAACGAGGGCAGCGGCAGCATTCTCTTTTTGCTTGTGTGGAATCTGTTGGCCTGAGGTGGAGGTCTCCTCCAACCAGGAACACAGTAACGATTCGATGCCATTAAGACAGTCCGCTGGCTCCTTAGTCAAGCTTAAGGGCTGGCAGTCACGAAGGCAAGTCAAGAGCACCTCAGCGGTTATGTTACACAGGGAAGGGTCCGTTCTGCTTTGGGACTCGATGAGAGGAAAAACCAAGAGCAGCCCCATTCGTGACGTGAACGGGGCCTGCTCAGGTTGCTGCAGTAGGCCCTGCCGCTTGAGCAAGGCCAGAGTTTCCTCATCCCCCGAATTTTCCCGCTCGTGCTGTTCTTCCAAGGCAAGCTGACGCTGGGCATTCCAGAGCCCGCGGAGAGCGTTCAACCGGTATTCCAGCAGGCGGGCATAGGCATTGCTTTGATTCCCGCAGACAGAACGCAGGCGCTCCGACAGCTCTGTTGGATTCTTCGTCTCAAAAGTTAAGATCTAAGAGAGAAAATGAGAAGAACTTGATGCTGATAAGTGCACAGACCAGGTTGCTCTTAATGGGGCCTCTCAGAAATCAAGGCACAAACTTATGCAACTTGGAAACATCCTAAAGATAACAATCACAGGTGTCAGGTGAAAGATGTTTCAGCTCATCTCTAGGTTCATAATTCAGGACATACAAAACAAGTGGAGGTCACTAGACAGCTTCATCACCAAGAACATAAGAGAAGCCAATGTTGGAGCAGGCCAGTGGCCCATCCAGTCCAACACTCTGTGTCACACAGTGGCCAAAAATACCAGGTGCCATCAGGAGGTCCAGCAGTGGGGCCAGGACACTAGAAGCCCTCCCACTCTTGTCCTCTCCCCAAGCACCAAGAATACAGAGCATCCAGGGACTTCCGGTCTGTGGCTTTTTTATTTTCTGTCCTTTATCCTGGGGTAACTTTTCCCTTCCCTTTTTCTTTTCTGTAGTGTATAGGTGTAACAAAAAATAATAAAGCTACCCTGCTTGCAGGGGATTAAAAAAAAAAGAATACAGAGCATCCTTTGCCCCAGACCGAGAGTTCCTATCTATACCTTGTGGCTAAAAGCCACCGATGGACCTCTGCTCCATATATTTATCTAATTCCCTCTTGACGCTGTCCATGCTTGTAGCCGCCACCACCTCCTGTGGCAGTGAATTCCATGTGCTAATCACTCTTTGGGTGAAGAAGGACTTCCTTTTATCTGTTCTAACCCGACTGCTCAGCAATTTCATGGAGTGCCCACAAGTTCTTGTATTGTGAGAAAGAGAGAAAAGTACTTCTTTCTCTACCTGCTCTATCCCATGCATAATCTTATAAACCATATCACCCCTCAGCCGTCGTTTCTCTCCTTCAGGTCTACAAATTAAACAACACAAAGTGAGATCAATGTTTGTCTTATCTCCTTTATTGATAGCTGATTGGTCATCAAACACAAGATATTATGACATATTTTCCTCTGTCGGGGAACAAGCTATATCACTTCAAAGAAAATTTTTACGAAGAAACCATGAAGAGAGAATCACAGTCGACAATTCTACCCTCTTTTAATTAGCAGGTTTCTCCATTCGTAAATTAAGGTATGGCTAATGGCCTTGCTGGGACAGTTCAATCATATGGACACTCACGTCACTGAGCACAGATGCGCCAATATCCCAATTCCAAAGATTGGCTTTCTAAGCCCCAAGACCTCATTTTCTAGTCTCTACTAATCAAATACAGACTGCCCTAAAATGAGCACTTTGCAGAGGCCGGCCTCATTCCCCTCTGCTGACTGGGCACCATTTGTACTTGGTTCTGCTATTTAGAGTCTGTCCTGGGAAAAGCACACGTGCTTCATTCACCTTCTGACCTCATCAGTTTCATCATTGTGCCTTTACAGCTAAGCAGTTAAAAGCCAGGCCTGCAGAGGGAAAAAATTCTATTGATTACTCCCCAACCCGCCCACCCCCGCAACATTTTCCAGTCTCAAAAGAGCACGCAGCACAGACACACAATACTCAGTGCTTTTATCAAGCATTTGTCATAAGCGTGTCTTGCACAAGGCACTGAGTCAAATCACCATCTGGTTAGATTTTTTAAAAGGTTGGGGTCATGTTACAAGTTCCCTTATGATCCGTATCAAATACTTCTGAATTTACAACATTTGCTTTTGCAAGAGCTCTTCATGTTTCTTAGAGGGGCTTACTTGAGATGCAACACCAGTGCCTCCTCCCAAACAATTTTAATGGGATTTCGACTATTTTTGAATCAGTTTCAAGAACAAAGCTCAACTCACACCAAACAGGATTATCCAGAATGGATTTCAAAGATAATTAACGAAATAAACATCAGCCGACACACACACACACACACACACACAACTGCTGCAAGTATTGATTTATCAGTGTCCAAATCTCTCAGCTGCTTTTAAAAACCCATCAGGATTTCCAGTGGTTCTGCTCTGCAGTGGCACCTCGCAGGTTCTAGAAACTGCCACCTTGATCGGAGCTTTCCACTTTTCCCTCCCCAAGGTTCTGGTGGTCTTTTGCCCTTGCTATCCAATTACAGGGGAAAGAGCTGTGGTGCAGTGGTGGAGCATCTGCTTTGCACAAAAGGAGGTCGCAAGTTCAATCCTCAGCATCTCCAGGTAAATGGATCAGGTAGCAGGTGCCTATCAAAGACAGTGTTGTCTATTCAGACTGGTGATCACTCTCCAGGTTCACAGGTAAAGGTCTTTCACAGTACTAAGGCTCCGGTCACACGGGTTGGAAAATGGGGGGGGGGAGCGTGGCTGTTTGCCCCAGAGCAAAATAACGCATGGCTGCGCGATCAGACATCCGGTTGAGGTCCCGTCGAGGTCCTGTGGTTAGGGGGGAGGTGCCGATCACACCACAAGCAAAGAAGCGGGGCGGTGCAGCAAACGGGGTTGTGGGTTTTTTTAAACTGAAGTGTGCACATGCTCCATTGGGTGCTTGTGCGCATCCCATGGAGACTTGAGGGGGAAAAAAACCTTTTTGCGAGGGGACATGGGCAGGCGCCGGATGCCATGAACTACCACCGGAAACGCGATCAGATGCCCGCCCTTGCCCCGCGGTTTCCGGAAACTAGTACCTCGGAGGTACTAGTTTTTTACCCCGCATCTTCTGTGGAAAGCCTTGGGTGAGCCACGGGAGCTCTACGCTTCCCAGATGTGGCGGTGTGATCGCGCCCGGAAAATCCGCCTATCTTCCGTCTCTGTAGCGTGGCTAATGCTCCGTGTGACCGCAGCCTGAGTTTGATAGATCAATGGCTTTGTTTAGTATAAGGCCCCTTCATGTGTTCGCATACAGATTGTGGGGGTGTGCAGATGTACTAGCGCACATCCTGCCCTGCCAATCGAGGTCACCTACCTCCTCAGGCAAGTGTCACTGCAACTCTTAGCTCTTTGTACTGGCTGGGATCTGGAACCTTAATACAAAAACATGGAAGAGCCGGGATAATAGAAATGGTGATGTGCGGCCCAATGTTTCATTTAAAATATCTGTTTAGCATTTCGTTATCATCAGAGGCTTACACACGCACAGATTTAGCTTGGTAATATGGCAGGAGAAAGGTCATGGCATTGTAGGTTCAAGTCCCAGCACGTCCAGTTAAACGCTCCCAGGGAACTGGTGCTGGAAAAAACCTTCTCTGCACAAGACCTAGCATAATTCTGCAGACCTGAAAAGAATCCCATTTCCTTGCGAAATATTTGCATGGTGTTGGTGTGTTTGGGGGGAGCGTGATGATATGGAAATACGGGG